ATTTATATATATATACACATAAAAAGTGCTACAAGATCCACACACGCTAACATAATAAAGGCACTGAAGAACAACAGGGCTGCATGACTACCGAAAAAAAAAAAAAGAAAAAGAAATATAAAAAAAGAAAAAAAAAAGAAAAGGAAAAAGAAAAACCAAACAAACCCATAGTAGGAACAATCACAGCGTACTTACTGCGATTGGCAAGCAGGTCTGGAGAAAGGTGATTGGCGGTGGTCTTCATCACAGGCCCGTTTCGATCAGCGTAACGGTTTTTTACACACCCCAACGACAGTCGTCGCGTGAAGATAAACTTGTTCAGCATCGCTGCTCATACCAAGCCACCATGACTAGCGTTTCACTTCGCACAACACGTAATAGTTTCACCACTCCTCAACTAGACGACTTTTTGCGCGAGTATTTTTGAGGGCGGGGGACGCATGCCAGTGTTTTTGACGGAAGGAAGGGAGGGAAGGGGTGTGGTGGAATGGATGGTAGTGTCTGTGTGTGTGAGAGTGTGTTCATGCACAAAATTTCATAGTCTTGCTTAACCTTTGAAATCCTGCGTGGGAGTAAATTTCCCTTTTTAGCTTTTAAAACTTTTTCCCCCTTTCTTTCTCTTGTTCAAACTAAAAAGGAGTAAGCATCTCCTTGATTATCACGATAGTGTCTGATAGTGTCAAAACAGTCCACTTCAAAAGACCAAAGTCAAAGAACTACTTACTTCCTTATTTTCCAATAACTTTCAAATGAAACTGACTATTCAAACTAGTGTCCATCGAAACACAAATTAGATTCATTAACTAAACCTTGATAAGGTTAATTTCAGTTGATCAAAAAGAAACTCGGAGATAAGTAAGGACTACCAACATGAACTAACCATGAACTACAGCATTACGCTCAGGTCATGCCTAACTTTTTAAAATTCTTGAATAAGGCCAACAATGTTTTACAGATACCGACCAAGTGTAGATTCTGCTCATTTTATAGGCCAGGGATAAATGTAAAAGGGGTTATGGGGAGAGGTTACAAGGAGCCTTATATGGTGGCCTCATAATCTCAATGTTCTGTTCCAGCTAGATGAGGGGTGGGTCATTTGAAGCTACAAAGAGCCTTATATGGCATCAAAATAACCCTCATGGTTCACTTTCAGTTAGTTAGGAGGGGGGGGGGGGAGACTACAAAGAGCCGAACCGGTTGTGATAGCCACATAGCCCTCACAGATTTCTTCTAATCTGGAAGGGCAGGGCGGGACGGTGTGGGGGGTGAGGGCTGTGTGTGTGTGTGTGTGTTTGTGTGTGTGTGTGTGGAAGAGGCTACAAAGAGCCTGGCAAGGCAGCTACACAATCCTAGGGGAAAGACTACAAGGACCAAGCCTGAATTGTAGCCACATAGCCCTCAATGTTTCACTGGAGGTTGGGAGGGGTGGGGGGTTGGGAGGGAAATCTAGAGGCCACAACTCTACAACTTTCAGGCCTATCCTGATATGGTGGCAACATGGCTCTCAATGTTCACTCGAT